ATTATTAAACTAAAATCTCCAGCATGGGGAAGTGGGATGAGCTCGACTTTTCTCGACATACTCCTCACTGACAATATTCAACCATTTTTTCTGATTACTTTTCACCAAATCTCCCACCACAGCCGCCAGCCGGGCTTTATCATTACAACTTTGTCAGAGGTTCAGCGCTTCCAATGTTTACTTCGGGACAAAAAACACCGATTGGTCAGTTCCTGACAAATCCACTGGATTGACAGACAGGTGGCGTCATGTTAGTTATGGTACATCTGCTGTAAGAGGAAGGTCTTGTAAAACGGTATGGATTCACACCTGGATGGCTCATCCAGCCAGTTTCTAACTCCATTTGTCCGCTCCCTGCTCTGGAATTCCAACTAAATTGTTATTCCCTGCAACTAAATTTCTTATACTTAGTGAGAATTACAAAGTGTATGGAACTGGTAAAAGGAATTAGGGAAAAGAACAGATTTATACATGGAATTTTCAGCCCACCTACTTCACCCATATTCCCTCTAACAGCAGCTGAAACAAGATTTTCTCTGACAACAGACATGTTGGCTGTTAAGTAATGAAACTAACACGCTATCCCAGTAGGAATCTCACTGTTTTCCTTTTGGTCTCCATTGCAGTGAATTTTTGGTATGACATGGAATACGACATCAAGTACAACTACTTCCAGCTTCTGGAATCACTGTCTGAAATAGCGAATGGTTCCTCGTGACACGGTGGCTGCTCAGTGATATCACAGCAACAGAGGAGACTCAGTCCACAGAAAGCAGTTTGTTTGGGAACTTTGGAAAATGGAGCTTATGGATTGCGAAACGTAGTGCAACAGCACCTCCTGGTGCTGTTTATGTCAAACTAAAGATTAAAAATGTAATTTATTCAATGAACCTTAGGACATGAAATGACTGTCAACTCATTCTGTTTTCTGGTGTGTCCATAAAGCTATGTGTGCTGCTGCTGTTTAAGTCTCATGTTCTCTGTGTGTTTTTGACTAAACTTCTATCTTTGTCACTGCTGCTCCCCGTTTAGTTCTTTTCAGGCTATATTCCTGATCTGTGTGGAACTGCAGGGAAATCACTAAGATTTTGCTGCATCAATTTTTTTTCCCATTTGCAACAATGTTGGATGCCACCATCAAACTCTTATAGTTTGCAAGTTTTAATATGCCTTAATTCTTCAGTATTGTGGGGGAGAAAACATTCTTCAAGCTCATGGTGCCATTTTATAAGTTATAAAAATGCTGCTTATATCAAACACGACTGACTCAAAAGAAATTTCATTTCACCATTTTACCTTGAAAATTGGGCATCTATCACTTTAACCCTCCCACAGTCGTAAGAGACGGGGTCATTTGGACCCCACCTGTTTTTTACTCTGCGGAGTCACACTGATGGTTTTTTTGTGTGGTTTTCAGAAAGTGGTGGTTGTGACAGTACAACTCCCACTTCCCTACTGCCTGACCGTGGCATTTGCTGCATCCTCCTGAGCATTGCGCTAAGACAGCAGGAGGGTTGCGATGGATGTTGATCTATTGTAATAAATCTTCTCCGATTAGGGAAACAGTCATGTCAGAATTTGACAAATCTTTGATTGGGTTCAAATTTTTGGAAAAAAAGATTTCCCTTGACCTTTGTTCATCCACCAAAAACAGCTGGAAAACAGCTGGAGAAGACAAATCTGTGCATAAAATGAAACCCCTCCCTTCTTTCGTATGATTCAGAATCTCTCTTCTCTGGAGAATACAGGCATGTGCCAATAATGCCGTTGTCTTTCTTCATTGACAAACATTATTGATGCTTAATCTAACTGTGGAGAGAGCTGCCAGTCTTCCCCAGGCTACAGCACATTTTAAACTGACTTTGAATCCAAACATGGTTCCAGTCAGTCAGAGCAGAAAACCCCCAGCTGGAAGTTAAATGACATTAGAGTAGCTAACATGAAGAAAAGAGCAGAAAGCATTTTATTAAAGCATAACATCTTTACAGCAAAAATTTCAGAGCCAGCAGGCATAACCCAGCAAACAAAAACAAAGTTCATGTTCATATCTTATAAATTTTTAAAATAATCTTTATTGTCAAGTTTTCCATATTGCATCGTCTCAGAGACTCAAGGCCACATTTCTCCGCATCCTACAAAGGAATACAATGATTATCTGTCAGCTAGTGGAAGCACTCGCACAAATCGAACACACACAAATCCTATGCAAAACAGACCAGATGTGTTTGTGTGTGTGTATAACAACTTACTACCTTCCCAGCTATCCGAGTCTCTCCTGAATGTCTCTATGATGATAGCAGATCGTTCTCCCACAAGATGTGCCATCTGACTGGCTCCACAACACCAGACAGTACTGGTGTTAGCAGCCTGACTGGTCAGATGACCAAAGATCCACTTTGGCAGCAGAGTGATGTTCTGTTCTAACTCTGGAACTTGGAAGAGTTCCAGAGGAATGCTCCTCTTCCAAAAAGGAGATCAATCAAAAAAAAAAAAAAAAAAAAAAAACACACACAAAATCTCAGTCTGAAAACTGAAAATGCTGAAAGGTGTCAGATTGAACAGTAGGGGGCGCCACACTGCATGCAGCGACAACATTTTTTCCAAAACAAATCCGACCATTAGCTGCTTTAAATCCTGATGTTTCTTAAGACTTTTTTTTTCCCTCTGTGGAAATACAATGCCAACACTTCAACCTACTGCACCGAGTTTTACTCCCAAATTGAAGCCTGCCGGTTTACTTCAAGCTGAACACAATCCCTAATTTATCCAGGGCTTTGCTGGAACAAACAGACGGTAACGGCCAGGAAAACAATAAGGACTGTTGGATGTTAGTGATCCAGCCTGAACACATTCAGCAGACTGCTGCAGCAGGACGAGCCCAGCCTGGGGGGCTGAACATGCTTTCAGTCATGACAAAACAAATTTGATGCTGGAAACCATTTTTAGTAAAAGGGTTACACATGACAAGGCATCAGCTGATAATAACTGGGACTGAGGCAGCCCCTCTGCTATTCATACGGCTCTACACACACACACACATAAAATAATTCAGCTTTCATAGTGATAGTTCCTCCTATAAATTGGCACATTGATGCTGTGAAACGCAGGCACCCAGCGGTTGTCATGGAGACCCACGTTGCAGCCAGGCGCATCCCTTTGGGCGCCGTGGCAACACATCCAGTAGCCCGGCCCGTACGGCAGAGCCTGGCAGTACGGCTTGTGGTGCCAGCGGCACAGAGACACGTCTCCAGGGCGATAGCGCTTTTTGCACTGTTTGCAGGGGTCATCACGGTAACGGGGGTCAGACACCCAGAGTGAGTCGGCCGGCCGCACGCTGTAGTTCTCGATGACGAACTTGAAATAGCTGCAGGTGCACTTGAGCGCGGCGAGGCTCTGGGTGGGCAGCAGCAGCAGTAGGTTGACCAGCAGGTGGTGCGGCAGCAGCAGCAGGTACGACTGGGGGGCCAGCAGCTGCTGCAGCCTCTGGCGCACCCGCAGGAAGTCCTGCGACACCGAGGCGCTACGGCCGAGAGGCACCGCGGCAGAGCAAGGAGGACAACCCATGGTCTTGTGAAACTTGTTCTTCTCTGACCTCTGGGGGGCGCTGACCGGAGGGAGGGCGGGCTCCAGGTAAAAGGTCGTTCTGTAATGGGGGGTGCAGAGCGTTGGCCCCGTCTCATCAGAAGACCGGAACAGGAGGCCGGGCAGCGGCTCCTGCTCTGCACTCCAAAGGCCCGCCATCTCCCCGGAAACCTCCTGAGACGGTGCAGCTGGGGTGGGGGGCAACACCCAGGCAGGGGACTCCACCCGGACAGCAGGTTTCACCTGTACAGGCAGCTCCACCCGGACTGCTGTCAGAGTTTCAGGTGGTCCTGATGAGGGTTGTGGCTGGGGTTGTGTCCAGCAGGAGCTGAAGCTCTTCTGTCCAGCAGTCAGCAGGACACGCCCCACCGTCCTCTTCAGGCTGTTGCTCCTAGACAGACTCGTTTCGCTGCTCCTCAGACACTTGGACTCCAACTTGGCCACCATCTCTGACACCCTGACGATGTCTGGCTCGTCTCCCTCCTTGATCTCAGGCCGGGGGTTTCTGGAAAGGGTGATGGTGGTAGAGCTCCTCTGGAGGCTTAACAGAGGTTTTAGGTTTGGCTGCAGCTCGCTCACTCTCTGCTCAAGGAATGCTACCATCTCCACCACAGAGATCTTCTGCTCCTCCTCCGTTGGCGATGGTCCGCTGGCTGGCTCCGGTGCCTCACCATGCTGGCCTCCGGGACCCTCTGAGCACCTCAGCTCTGCTTCAGTCAGGATGTGGCTCCTCTGGTCCAGCTGATGGTTCTGGTTGCTTAAGCACCTGCGGCGCCTCTTGGCAGAGCGATTTTCTTCCCAACTTCCCTTGGCCTTCACGGCGCGGAGCGGCCCCAGCGGAGTGCTGCCGTTGGCACATGCCTTTGCAACTGGATCGCTGTGGCTCAAGCAGTGAGCTGAGCTGCAATCGCCACTGTCTGCCCCATCCGTCCGTGTTGCCTCCGAAGCAAATATTGCAATCTTTTCGCGCACGTGTCCAGGTTTGATGACTGTCCACACGTTCGGCACCGTATCAGCCTCCTCCGTGGCACTCCGGCACGGTCCGAGGGGAGCGCTGCATCTGCCGTCGGTCTGACAGGAGAGCTGTTGCCCGGTGGTGCCGCGCAACGCCTTCAGATGTGATGAGCCGCCGGTGCTGTAGCAGAGTGTGTTGGTGGAGATGAAGCTTAATGGAATACGGCTGGTGCTGATGTTGCTCTGGTTACTGGACATCTTCATCATCAGCGTCTCCTGATGACTACCAAAATAAGCGCTCCTCTGAGATGACGTCTGAACACGGACTGCATCCAAATGCACCTCTGCGCATAGGAGCTTTGGGTAGGACCTTAGATGCATGGCTGGCCTAAGGGAGGAGGAGAAAGTTATTTAGTTTCAAATATGATCAATCTTTTTAAAGGAAAAAATTCAAATGTGCTACAGCTTTTGGATAACTTTTAAAGAATGTTGTGTACCAATCTGCTTCTATGTGGTTCTCACATTAAATGTTGGGAAGAGTGTGGGGATGAACCAAGCAGGGATAATATGTTCAGTAGTGTGGATGTTTTGGTTTGTTTAAATCAAGCAGACGGCTATGGTGCTAAACACGGCAACAAGCCAGCCAGCAAGAAGTCATTGGGACTCTAATCCATTGGTCAAATTTTTGTCAAAAAGTTTGACCAATGTCAAACTTTTTGACAACTTTTAAAGTCAGTTTAAAATGTGTTACTAGGATACGAGAGCTGAAGTGATTAGAGATCTCATAATGGAAACGACGGCATTAGAGGGAACTACACAACCAGCTCAGTTTTCCACTCATTAGGAGATGCCTCTTACCATGCCAAGTGGCAGCTACTTTAAAGTCATTATAAATGAACACAAAATAATTATACCACACAATTTCGATATGCCTATAGAATATAGAAATTGTGATTACCTTGACAGCACATATTGATTTCCCAGTGGTGTTAGAAGTGAGATCCAGGTTGATGTGAAAGCTTCTCTGGTTCTAAAGCTTCATATCTTGTGTGTTGCTTCTTGTCCAACTCCACTAACTTCAGGAAAGCAGACTGAACATGAGAGACTACCTCTGCATAGAACATAGAAGTACAAAAACAAAACCTGTAAATATGAATTAAATGTTACAAGATGATAGATGAATCGTCCTAAAGAGATGTAATCCAGCAACAATAAACTGACTCGCAATGTAATCTCTTTAATAATAATAATGTCATATCATTAACAGGAAGGTTCTAGAAGTGCTTGAGTAGAAGACAACTGGAATATTTATCTTGTCTATGGTGTCAAACCCCAGTTCTCGAGAGCCACTCCAGGACTGGAGTTTGGTGTCCCCAGGTGTTTCTCCAACCGCCACATTAGAGCGACATGCAGCTCAGTCTGGTTACCGCTCAGGTTTTAGAACGTTCCGCAGTCAGAGCCACTACAGCATTCAAACCATTTAATGTCCCTTTAATATGAGGCCATTGAAACTTCCAGGAAGGGCTGAATTTTTTAATTGTTTGGGCACTGCAGGCCAGAGGTCATATTTAAAACAAATATTCATAATGAATATGTATGAGCTCATTCTTGAGAAAAAAATATTAAAATTTAGAAATATCTTCAGTCAAATTAGTGCCTGATTGGTCCATTCAAATTTCCTTCATTTTGAGTGATCAGTGATTGGCCAATACTTACTGATTATTTTCACAGATCTTATCCAACTTCACAAAGTTCTGAAATTCACCTACTGTACCGTTTAGCTCTGCTGTGAGAAATTGCTGCCCACCAGGTCAAGTATGCTGACTTTTCATTTTTTCATATGTAGCAAAACCAAGTTTGTATTGATTCACGGGTATTCTTTGATATCTTTTAATTAAATAAAGTTAGCTGATTGAAGGTGTATTATGACCCCCAACACCTGTCAATGGCGGTTAAAAGAAAAAAAAAATGTTAGTATCGATCTAACCCAGCAGGTCAGGCTTCTTAAAGATCTGTGATTGACCAGAAAACGGCAATCGGTGCACCCCTAGTGTAGACGGCTGGTGGTGTTATATCAGAATAGGCCCCACATGTCACCCCTACATACCTAAAGGTCTGAGGAATACAACAAATATGTTTGCTGGATCATGCTTTGTGCCATGCAAGATGCCTACAATGACAATATTGTGACAACCCCTGGTAAAATTTAAATGGCAACCACTGCCAATATGATTTTATTTCATTCGAAGCTCAGTTTTTCACAGAGCCCATCCACCTCATTCCCCCGTGTGGAAATTTCCAGAGTACAGACTGTTTACAGGTGAGGCAAGAGGCACTGTTGAACCTGTAAGGAAACCTTTCAGAATTACAAAGTTTTCCATGTCAGAGATGTTGGACTAGCAGTGGACAGACCACTTGACTATGAAGGAACATGTTTAACGTTGAGGCGACATTAGGCAGAGGACTTTTAGTGCAAAGTGAGGCCAGATGATAGATTTTGGGGCTTCATCATCAAAATTGCTCAGAGTTACTGGATGCCACAAGGGTAGCTTACAAACTGACAATAGTATAAAGATTATAAGAATTTGGTTGAAACATTCATTGTATGATTTGTGTTTTAATACAGATCATCAACTTTTACACAGTGCAGAATTTATTTTAAACCTAAAAAGTATTTCTTTCAGTAAGAAAACAATGTGTTATATGGTGCTGTTCTAAAAGTCCCTTTCTGAACAGTGTTGGTCTGTGATACTGGAATCACTGATTATCTCTGGCTTCTGATAGTGGTGACAACATCTCAAGACATTTCAGGTATCCCACATGCAACACCTCCACAGACATGGTCAGTCTGCACAATCGTTTACTATTTATAATAATTGTGTTGTAGTTTTCTTTGTTTTTGTAAATAGACAAGATTTGTATAACCAAGTCATTTTTAACCTTGTTTGTATAATCTTTGTTTTTAGCTAGACAAATTACTCATTAACTGTGTTTCCATTGCAAAAGTTATGCACACAACTTTGCTAATATTTTGCTAATGTCAAAAAAACAACTGAATTTTGCAATTGCTGTGTTTACATTAAACAAGAAACACAATTAAAAATCACATGTGAATTTGTTCACACGATAAATCATGCAGAAACATGCCATCATCCTTGTCTTCTTCGTGGTTTGCATCAATGGTAACATCAGGTTGTTGATTAAGTGACTTGTGTGATGTGAAAAAAATGTTTTAATTTAAGTTTTGCAAAATAAAGTAAATTTTATAAGCCCAAAAAAAAAAAAAAAAAACTTCTCATCCTAGTGCCAAAAATTTTACTGAAAAGAGTTTTTCTTTTTCCAAAATTGGCAGGCTTCAAATTGCCCAGTTATATGTTCAATGGAAACACAGCTAGTGTCCAGGGACAACAGATGAAAAGTAGCCATTTGGCTAATTCTGGAACATTTACAAAAATGTCAATGAGCATTGTCCCTGTCCAATAAATTAAATTTAAATGAAACCTAAAAGAAGAGATTCCCCAGCAGAAATGACTGTATTGGAGCCATTTGCTCTTAAGATCCATTGGCAGTTGGCATCTATTTACAAAGCTACAGCTGATTGAAGACCTCTACATCTATGCAACCTCAGCAACACTGTGCTCTTCACAAACATGCCTCAGCAACCAGGCTTCTTGCCTAGACACTAGAGAAGGCAAATATCAGCCAGAAAGTTTAAAAATTATCAGTGAAAAAGAAACAGATATATTCCTGCATTTTATGCCTTTAATTCCTGAAGAGAGCCAACAAAAAATTAAATACAAGTTGTTCATCTGATGGACATGTCTCATTTGATGTATTTGTGTGAGTGAAGTGTGTGGCTCATCTGAGAGTCGCCCTGATCATCTCGGTGTACAGTTCAGAGTGCATTATAGGACAAACAGCTGGGATCAATACAACATCATCCAGAAAGCATGTTCTGGAGCGCAGCATACAGGAGGATGCTCATGTCTGATTATTTACACATCAGGAGATGATAACGTGAGAAGAGTTACAACAGATTCACGAGGTTTTGGCTACAATCTCAAATTAATTGTCTGTTCACCTTTGACCTGGCCCATGTTACCTTGACACTGATGACTGAAAATTGATCACATAAATTTATAACTGTAATAATGTAATCATATAAAATCCAAGTCTAAAATGCAATAATTCTTTAGTGAAGGCTTGATCATTTAGAGCTAAAAAACAATCCTAACATCAACATGTTCAAATGTCAGAAGGGTGGGGCTGGTCTGATTATTTATTGGATTAATATCTGAATAGCAACAGGTGCTTAATAAAGGTTTTTTTTTTCCCTTTAGAGAATTAAATGTAAAACTATGCCACTTGAAGATTTCTGGGGATGATACATTTATAGATCTTACATGCAAAATGTATATATTTTTGCCCAATTTTGGCTTCATTAATTCTCTGAATGTGTTCCTTTTTTTTTGAGTCTGAACACTCCAGTTAACGGTTAATTAATTCCTAAATTTGATCAATAGTAAATCGTTGCAGACAAAAAAAAAAAAAAAGCCTTTCTTGTACCATTATTTTTCCAAAATGCAACTAAATTTAATACTTTGTGTTTTTTGATGTACACTAAGGATAATTATGCAAGTGTCCTCATTTTCTTTAAAAAAAAATAGCTCATAAAACCAAGTTTAGCAACATAGTGGTAGTATCTATATGGGATGCACACATTTGAAATCAGAAAGCCTTACTACACACTGTCTAGATCTAACCTAACAACAGAGAACAATGGGTTATAATCCTTACATCAACCAAAAAACAGCCACACCTACACATATCCATCTTCACATTTCAGATTCTCAGGTTTAGGCAACATCTCCAATATATTGATTTACATGATTGCTATCAATAGTTCAATGCTTTAAAGAAACTTTAAAGCGATCCATAAAAACAAAAAAACAAAAAAAATTTACTCAATCTGGGTTTTAAACAGTTTGATACAAGTAACTTAATTTCATTAGAGAATGGACCAGTGACATGTGTAGATTGTGAGAGACCTTCTGCTGGGTGAGAGCAGGTAATAACAAAGATGAACATCAGAAGACATTTAGAAGGGAACAGGCTTGGTTGTGGCTGTGAGATGAGGAGCTACTTTCTGCATTCACCCAGCTGTAGTCCACTGGTTGGTTTAATCTGCAGGATTTATTCCTAAATTTGTAACAAATCACATTCAGGACCACATGACACCATACAAGTTTCTTTAATTAAACAATGCTGCAATTAGACTGCTAATCAACTCTGTATGTGACTAACCATTTCTGAGCCCAACAGAGAGCTCTGCGTTACATAGAACATAATATTCTGCACCATGACATAATTTATATATTTAGTGAATATTTTTTGCTGACATCTATATCTGAAAATCAAAATAGCGATAAATAAATGTTTAACAGCAGCAATACTGCTGTTAAACAGCAGTATTGATATTAATATAATAATCAATATCATTGACGATTTTGGCAGCAGCAGGAATTATTGCTTTTTTGCTTTAAATAAAACAGAAAATCAATGTAAATAAATTTCTGCTTGAACTTTGTGTGTAGGTATGAAAATAGTAAACTTCCTCAGTTATTCTATAAAATACTGTGGTGCACTTTATTCTATTAATATATTTATTACAGAAACTGATAGAAATTGCCAAATCTTTACTTCCTTATCACCCAACTTGCTTTTCTGACTGCATCTTCATAGCCAGCTGTTTAGCCGAAGCTAAACAGCTGGCTACTTTACATAGAGTAGTAAAGGGAAAGGAACCTGGAAGTAGCCGTAGTTTAATGGGGGGGGAGGGTGTCGTCGTCCATACACCATTTTTATTTTCCCGTTTCTAAAAACAAAGCCCTGTGTACGAACACTGCTAAGAAGTCGGTGATTGTGGAGACAGCACTGAACAGAGTCTGATAAACAACTGCTGTGTCTGCAGTACGAAGAAAACCGAGACCGTGCTGGGCCTGTTCATCACCTCCACCCCGCTTATGCCACTTTCCTTTGGGTTCAGAATGTTAACGGCTCCATTCCACAGCTGATCCATACACAGCCAACGAAGTGTCGGAGGCACGGTTAGCAAACAACTGTTTGAACTGGTCAAGTTAGTTAGCTGCGACTAGTTGAAACCATTGCAACCGCAGAAAATTGATTAGCTGTAATGCTAGCTAGCGCAGAGCAGCGAAGCAGGCAAACAGAGCATTTAAAAATACAGGAGCTCGTTGAAATGTAGTATGTTTCCACATAAATTCAAACGATTTAAAGTTGAAAAGGCACACTTACCTGAAGAAGGCAGAATCTCCGTCTTTACTACAGGAAATAAAAACAAAAAACTAGGCTAGTAGCTGGAACAGCAGCTAAACTCCACTGTTTTCCAGTTTGTTTCTGTTTTTGTACCGACCCGAAGCTGCGGTCAGTTAATTTAGCTGCTTGTTTTAGTCTTTTACTTTCCAAAACAGCTTGGCCACTAAAAAGCTCGCCCTTCGTGGTTTTATAGCAGCTCTATTGTAAACGACCAAAATACGTACACTCGCAGCTCTACGTGTTTACGTCACAACTTAAAAGGGAAGTGTAAGGTAAAAAACAAATAAATGAAATATTGGTCTGTTATCTTTGACACTCAGTTACAACCATTTTGTGGTGTAAAAAGATACTATTGGATAAAAGCCTGACCCTAACCCTCTTAAAATGCATCAAAATCTAGCAGACTTTGGTGCATTTCAGAGAACCATCAGGCTTCTCTGAAACCTGATGGCTTTATGTCATTTCATTTAGGAGCAATTATAAATGCAATCAAAAATAACTTCACAACTAAATTCTAATTTAGCCTCCTTTTTTGTCTTAATTCTCTTCTTCTTCCACATGATCTTAATTTTTATTTTTTAAAAAGTTTGTACAATAATCTGGATCCAAAATCTTAACTAGAGGTTCTTTGTAGTAAGTCAACACTGGTATATACTTCTACAGTTGAATATTGTTCATGGGTCGAGTGATTTTTTCATGTCAATCCTGAACTTACTACTTCCACAACCTCACCTTAGATAATTCAATTCAGTTCAAAAATACTTTACTAATTCCAAAGAGAAATTAAACATTATTATACCATCTAGTTGTTATAGAATGGCTCTTGGCATAAAGGATATACTGTAGCTGTTTGTATTACAGCAGTTCTGAAGGAGCCTCTGACTCAAGACACTCTGTGCTATTTGCAAAATACTGGCGATTTTACAAAGGAATCTGTTGCACTGCCATACGACACTTTTTCAAAACAACTTGACCTACAACCCTTATAAAAAATATTTTCTTTTCAATCTCTTGGTGTGAAATTAAAACTTATATTTCTCACCTAGAAAGTATAAAGTAAACATTGAATCAGGTAAACCATTACATTTTATTGAGAAAAACACATTTGCGCCATTCAAAATATGTACCATTCATAACAGAAATGTGAAACTACACATATGTGACACTGAGTCAAAACGGGACTTCTGTCAGACACTGAGCAACACAGCCATTTATTTTATTCAGTATGAGTCAACTTACTTTTAAAACTAAAACCTTGTCAATGTTTGTTGATCGACAATAGATTGAACTTTTATAAATTATCTAGAAAAAAGACAGAGCAGAATAATCTGCTGTGATTACCACTGAATACCTGGCGATGATTGTCTATGGGTCAAATCTCTTGGGATTATTATTAGACTTTTTAAAAATGTTCTGTAGAAATAACAGTCATCTTCAGCTGTAGATCAGCTGATAATCTGGAGGTCCACCAAAGACAACCTTTGCTGTGTTTTAAAAAGATCTGGTAGATCTTAGACCCATGAAAGATTCTTAGCTGTTCTAAAATTGGTTTTCATGAATTTGTGACTGTTCTCTGTAGGATAAGGGAAATGTTATTCTTTTAAGATTCTTTTTAGATTTCCAACAGAGCCACAGTATATCTCAAATAGATTTGCAGTTGACCTCCAAAGGTGTTTTGCTTGTTTGTTTTAATAGTACATCTCCAGTAATGTCAAAGACTTCTCAGATGTTCTCAACACAAACATCTGAAAGGGTGAGATCAAAGAGGATGCCAAGTTTGTTGATGGATCTCAGGTTGGTTAGCCGATGTTTGTATTCAAGAACGTGGGAATTGTTAACAGCCACCTTGAACTCTGTGTTGGTGCACAATATCTTCATCTGCAAAAAAAATAACATTAACAACATGTTAGTGAACTAGACTCTGAAAATGCAGCAGATTCACAGACACCTTTATCCCCCAAGACGGTAGAAAATGTCTGACCTCAAACGGCTGACCCAGGACAAAGGGAAACTGATTCACATTCCTCTCCTCTTTCCCCCACTTCTCGCCGATGAGTGAGTTCCTGACAAGAGCCTTTCTTCCGGCTTCATTGAAGCGAGGATTAAAGTGAAAGGCAATATCATTGCCTGCAGACAAGTTCACCGCGAACCTGATTGACAACAAGGACACAAAAGCAGAGTGATTTCTTTTGTGGTTTAGCATCCTATATTTCACACAAATATGACAGTCAGTAGAGAAATATGTTTGATTAAACCCTCAGTGTTGCTACTGACTTCTCAGCATTGGGTTTTACGGTTCCCCTGATGGTGATCAGTAGTTTATCATATATTCCCATTGGCAGTCTCTCTTCATAGGGAACAGCCTGTCAAAAAGTAAAGTAATTAACACATCTCCCTTTCTGTCCATATTTCTTGATGCATTTCTCATTTTCTTTGGTTTTCTTACAAGATTCTTGTAGGGTGCGGCTGGTATAGCTGGTCCAGGTCCATTTGAACCAGGACCACTTGGGAATCCACCGGGTGCAGTGGGTTGACTTGGGTTCCCTCCTGGCCACATATTATTGCCTCCGGATTGGCCTCCAGGCCAGGCGGGGTTGGAGGCAGGTTGACCACCAGGCCACATCGGGTTGGGGGCAGGTTGCCCACCAGGCCAGGTGGGGTTGGGGGCAGGTTGCCCACCAGGCCAGGTGGGGTTGGGGGCAGGCTGCCCACCAGGCCAGGTGGGGTTGGGGGCAGGTTGCCCACCAGGCCAGGTGGGGTTGGTTGCTGGCTGACCTGAGTCAAAATGCCATTATTCATTTTTAATGATCCATTCACCTTTTTTATATAAAGCTATATTTGTCGGCAAAATGCATCTCAAGAAAATTACGAAAGAAAAATCTGTGTCGTTCTTAATATGAATACACATTCTTGGATTTTTATGTTTTGACTATGGACCTCAGACACCATATTGAAAATATATTTCAAATAATCTTTTGTTGTGAAAAAACAAGATATTGTCAGAAATGAAGACTGAAGTAGGTGAGAAACTAATCCATAATAGACCCTGAAGCTCCCTCTCCTCATTGGTGAAGCACCAGTGGCATCTGTGAGTTTTCTACCACAGACTTGCAGGAATTTAATGGCGGACTCCAGTGGCATTCTGGGACCTTGTAGAGACTAACAGATGGCTTTGTCTAGCAGAAGTAGAGGGCAGGAGATAGATGGTGTATTTTTGTTAAAGCGCTTATCGTTGGGTTCAAAATATTGCTTTTGAACCTGAAAGGTGTCAGTCTGGCATCCATCATCTACCAACAGAGCTCCCATCCGAGAGAGAGAATATCTGGTGATGTCATGACTGGCGAAGAGGTCAAAGACTGCCTTCAAATGGAGGCTAGTCAGAAAGCCTGTGTGGCCAGCTTATATGTTCCAATCCCTCCAGATTCCATGATCATAGAGTAAAAGCAGATAAAGGCAGCAGCAATCTGGATCAAATCTTCAATATTTTGGAAGGAATCAGCAACACTATGGCAAAGAAAGTTACTTCTTAACTGGATGAGAGGCAACCAGTATGAAGAGTGTTGATGTTTAGTGGGCCTTGAGAAGAGTGAACATAGGGGATTTAAATTACCCAAACACTATTTTAGTGAGTATTAAGGGCTCCACATCTTTAAAATCTCCTGAAAACATTGGCTTTCCCAACATTTTTAGGACTTTCTTGTAGTGATTATTCATATTATTTACTGTACATATCAACACTCGCTAATTAAAACCATTCAGCATTTGGAGGGATTGGCCAAGATTGTACCAAAAATTTGGTACAAGCGGAAACCAGAGACAGGTCTGTAAACTATTTCTCTTCAAGGAACTGGTATGTCTAGATTAGCCAAAAGACAATTCAAGTGTTGACATAGTGTTACAGCCAGCAGTCACTCTGTACAGTGGGTGAAGTTCATTGAATATAGAGGAGAAGGTGCAAGATATGTACGCCTACATTAAACAACAAAAGAATAGTTAAATGCTTCTACCTGGCCAGTTGGGGTTGGCAGGCCAAGGACCTCCTGATTGGTTGTTGCCGCCAGAGGGCCAGTCACCAAGAGCATCTGAAAGCTGTAAAGAGAGAGAAAGTAAAGACACCTCTAAACTCAAGGTCATCACACATTATTTCAATATTTCAACAGGTTGATTGTTGGTGATTCCAAGATGCTTTATTGTCAACAGATGAGCTGTCAGATAAAGTTCGAATTGAATAGTAATGTGATCCAGCATCCTAGGATTTCATAAATAACAGTATTTGTTGTGAACTGGTGCTATATAAATAAACAGAACTGAACCATTACAGTTGTATGTTCAGTGTAGTTATATTGTCATGTTGTGGTTTGCAAAAGACACAAAGGCAGACAGTTACAGTGAAAGAACAGAAATCTTAACTGACTAGGAAATGATAAAAATCCAAACAACCCAGGATAATGATATGTATTTTTTTCACAAAGCACTAAAACTGGGTCTCCTGCACTCATTGGACCCTGCTAATTACATATTGATCTGTAAGTGTAGTACATGAAAGTGAAAAGAAATAAATAATTATCCTAAGATACATGGCTAAGGGGTTAGGCCAGTTCATAAGAATGTCGTAGTTCTGCACTTCAAACTTAGAATAAACATCTCTTACATTTAAAAGTTCACTTTTATTGTGGAGCCATTATTACCTGTCCCTTGGCTACGTTCCCAGGAACTGCCTGACAAGCAGTTGTGAGAAACATTCAAGTATGCTTGAGTGAACATCTATAAATAAGATCTGATGTAAAAGTACATGAGCCTAAAATATTATGATTTGACTTGCGACAGACTGGCAACCTGTCCAGGTGACCCCGCCTCTTGCCCAAAACGTTCGCTGGAGATAGACACCAGCACCCCTCCCGACCTTACTAGGGACAAGGGTGGACAGAAAATGGACGGATGGGTGGACGGATGGACAGACAGACGGACAGATGTTATGATTTGAGATATTCCTGCATCTGTTCCAATACATACCAATAACATCTCTTTAATAGGTGTTTATATATGCATGACATGGATTTTGCCCGTTTTTGCCAACATGCTATTAAGGACAGATAAAAATAACAGTTTGCTATAAGAACCACTTTGTTACTGAGCCAGCAACAGCTCTGTTGGAAGATACTACTGAGGAAAATCACATGAGGCGCATTAGTTCAGAAGTCAGCTTGAAATGTTTTATTTATTAACATAAAATGGAAGAAG